CTTACCAAAATAAACACATATTTTGTTGCCAAGTCATTAAATTCTTACCAAATAAGTGCTTAACAATAAAATGGCAGAGAAATCATGGCGATTGCATACAAACATTTGGTAAGATTTTAGGGATCAATATAATAATATACATGGATTCTCAAAAACAATAATATAGTACAATAATAGTCGTGCAGTCAGGGGCTAATCTACTAGAATGTTTATACTCCCGTTGCAACGCACGGGCAATTGTCTAGTTTATTTAAAAAGAACATAAGGTTTCCATTTCATCTTTCTTCACACCACTCTTTCGTCCAACCTTCTATGTATATGATAATCAATCACCTTAATTACTTACCTTTTGAACCAATTTCACTTTAATTTACTTACCAAACTTCTAATCAAAATATAACGGTCGGAATTTGATGAATATTTATTTACACAATCGCATTACTGTTGACAATCTAATATATTAGAATATTTATATCACGTTGTAACGCACAGGCATTGTTCTAGTTTTAAATGATACAATCGTAGATGCTCACACAAAAATGTATCAATAAGCATGGTGCCACATGCACACGAGTGTACAATAAAATTGAAAATGGCAAAAAGAAAAGTAAACATTTTTTAATAAAGATGCCCAAGTGTTCTCTTCTTGTGGTGTTTTGTGAAAGAATGACACCTACTCCTATGGTGCTATGAGTGAAGAAGATAAAATCGATTCTCTAAAGTTGTTTTTTGCCTGGGATACTACATCGTCATTTCATCACGAAAATTCACATGTAGACAGAACACTTGGCCGTGTTTGCTACAAGATCTTTTTTTTACCATTCATCTATACGCAAGTGTACCTAGGAGCCAAAATTCGGTGACGTAGGATGCTGAATTTTTAACATGGGTATACACGCATCCTTTATAATAATAAAAATTCTAAAATAGTAGAAATAATAATAATGATTTTTTCTGTAACATACATGGTCAAGTATTCTACCTACATGGTGAAGGTTTGGAAAAGAAATGACATCCATAGTACTGGGCAATTGGGGTTGCCCACGACGCGATTGTTGAACTCAAAGAGCCTCACCCGCAAGAACCAGCATATTTGCGAGCGCGCCTGCAAGGTGGCGGAGAAAGGTGTTGCAAAGAAGGAAGTCTTGTGCCCTTGGCCATGCCCACGTTTTCGCTCTTGGACGACTCTGGTGAAGGAAATCTACCCTAGAGGAAATAATAAAGTAGTTATTTTATATTTCCTTATTCATGATAAATGTTTATTATTCATGTTAGAATTGTATTGATTGGAAACCTAAATACATGTGTGAATACATAGACAAACATTGTATCCCTAGTGAGCCTCTACTTGACTAGCTCATTGATCAAAGATGGTTAAGGTTTTTTAACCATGGACATGAGTTGTCATTTGATAAAGGGATCACATCATTAGAAGAATGATGTGGTGGACATGACCCATCTGTTAGCTTAGCATATTGACCGTTCAGTTTTATTGCTATTGCTTTTTTCATGTCAAATACATATTCCTTCAACTATGAGATTATGCAACTCCCAGACACCGGAGGAATGCCTTGTGTGCTATCAAACGTCACAATGTAACTAGGTGATTATAAAGATTCTCTACAGGTATCTCCGAAGGTGTTTGTTGGGTTGGCATAGATCGAGATTAGGATTTGTCATTCCGGTATCGGAGAGGTATCTCTGGGCCCTCTCGGTAATGCACATCATAAGAAGCCTTGCAAGTAAAGTGATTAATGAGTTAGTTACAAGATGATGCATTACAGAACGAGTAAAGAGACTTGCCAGTAACGAGATTGAACTAGGTATGTGGATACCGACATTCGAATCTCGGGCAAGTAACATACCGATGACAAAGGAAATAACGTATGTTGTCATAACGGTTCAACCGATAAAGATCTTGGTAGAATATGTAGGAGCTAATATGAGCATCCAGATTCCGCTATTGGTTATTGACCGGAGAGGTGACTCGGCACGTCTACATATTTCTCGAACCCGTAAGGTCCGCAGGCTTAATGTTTGATGATGATTTAGTATCATATGAGTTATGTGATTTGGTGATCGAATATTGTTCGGAGTCCCGGATGAGATCATGGACATGATGAAGAGTCTCGAAATGGTCGAGAGGTTGAAACATATAGGATGATAGTATTCGGACACCAAAAGTGTTCTGGATAGTATCA